CGAGCCGACCTCGGCCCGACCCGATGTTGGGCCAGGAAAGTCCCGGCCCTGTACCCCCAGTCGGGTCAGGGTATTCAACATCCTGGTCTGGGGCTGGCCCGACCCGACCCGACCCGGAAACCTGCTTGGCCCAGCAAAGTCGGGTTGGGTCGAGCCAGACGCCTACTTTTTGGCCCGCCCGTTTAGGGGTGGACTGAGCCGGCCTGTCTCGAGGTGCGGCCTTGGTCGGGCCGTTTTGGCCCGCTTTTGACACAAGCCCCGCTTTCATTGAGGCTCATCACAGCGTATGGTAGGAAGTATATGAGAACCATATTAGTTTCAAAACTAACGAGAGCAAGAGCTGAAACTAGGCCAGTATGGTTTATGCCTACATGGCTAGACATAATCGAGATGGAATTGAGAGGGTTTGCGCTGGGCATTATTCTCGCTTTGATAGCCATGGCTCGTTTGTTTGAGTTGAACCGAGCTTGGTCTGCCACAATCCTAGGAAGCCTCATGATGAAGGGACCAATTTTGCCACTATCAGCCTTTTTCACCATAAGAAATGTCTTCAGGGAAGGCATGAAAGACTAGGTGCGGAGAGTCACTCTACAACGGTAGTGAGCTAGACTACGGGGGTTGGCACGAACTACTAGGAGTGATCATAGCTCTGCTTAGTTCTTTAGCGCTTGCACATTCACGGGAGAAATCGGCAAGAGTTTCCACTAGCAAAGTCGAAATTACAGAATTGATTCAACAAACAACGACAACAATGACTACATCACACACCTAGCAACTCTGCAGCTAGCCTGGTCGACTGCCAACAGTGCATGGTCGACCGCCTGCCAGCGTTGCGTAGAGGAACCGTGCCAGCACTGCCGAAAGGCGACCTGCCAATATAACAGGTCGACGGTGTGCCAAGGCTGCAGCAGAGCGGCTGTCCAGCGTTGCCCCGTAGAAGACAACAGTGCGTATGCTCGCAGGTGCGCGCAAACGATTGGCCCGACTCGCCTCGTTGTGCATCCATTGGCTATTGTCTGCGCCTGACGATCCACATCGACTTTGGGTTACCGGCCCGAAGTCGCCTTCGCCATTGCGACCTCGACGACGTTCGCGTGCCTCCGCAGAACTCGTCGAGTAGGTTACTCGGTCGACCTGGTCGACCACCAACTGCTCTGGTTGACCACCAAGTGCCTCTAGTGGACTACAGCTCCTGTCGAGCTACCCCCTGGTCGACGGACCCCTTCCGTTGACCAGAATTGTCAGCGGTTGACGCCGAGCTCCCCTCGTCGACCACTGCTCACTTGTCAGGTCGACGGACAGCTCCGTCGGCCTCCCGGTCGAATTGCCCGTCCTGGTCGACGGCCCACCCGTCGCCCAGCCCAATCAGCTGCAGCTGTCAAGCTCCCTGGTCGACAGCAGCGCCACAGCGGTCCCCTGCAGCTCGACGAAGCCTGTTGAGCAGCTCTCCTATTATGAGCGGTCGGCTGCTTCTCCCGTACATCCGACCAAGTCATCAGCGTTGCCCAGCGAGGGCGGGGCCAACACTCCTCTTCCATCAACACTAGGCACGAGCATAGGTCTAAGACAAGCTGGCTTGGTTCAAGTTGCCATGAGCCGGTGCGCTGATGAGCCAGTCGGGCAGCTGACCAAGCTCGTGGCTCGTCCATTATAGACAAGCATGCGTTGCTTACACGGTTTTGGTATTTTACTGCTTCGGGTGAATCTTGCATTTCAGCTTTGGATTTGCTTCGAGTTTCACATCTGGGTAAGAGAGGGTCTTGGCTTATCGAGATCGGTTTGATCTCAACCAGTTGATACTCGGATTGCCAGCTTGTCTTGACTCAATTGTCATCGTGGACCCGTGTTTCAAAAAAGGTGGAATAAAAGAATGAGCTCCAACTATCTCAATCCAAGGTTTATATTTTTCCATAGGATTCAAGGGCCATCTTGGTCTGCCTGACAACCAGCCTGGATTATCAAGCATATTCTTGCCCAGTTCGGGCCAGCTGAGTTCGACCAGCTTGTGGCCGGCTGGTGAAAGAATAAGTTCAACGGGTCGGCAAGCCGGGTCTCGGCTCGTCGGGCCAGCTCGATAACTCGGGGTCAGCCGGCAGAGCAGGATTGCTGGGTCTGCTTGACTCAATTGTCAGCTTAGGCCTGTACTTGTGATTGAACGCGAAATTGAGCTCCTAGTTTGACACATTGCGGGATAATATGTGTCGGGTGTCTTGTGCCCTTGTCCGGCAGCAGTGGTGGGGTTTGTCATGGGCCACGGGATTGAAGCAGCCTGGTTTTCCAGGCATGTACCTTCTCACTGAGGACCAAAACGACTCAAGCATTCTGACATCAGAACAGTTCAAGTAGTGCGGGCTGGCCGGTGAAAGTCAGGGCACCGTTTGACCTTTGATAAACCAGTTTGGCACAAGTCACAAGGGAACCTGCCCTTGGTCATGTTGTAGTGAAAGGCATAAATTTCAAGCATGAGTAGCCCATCTTTTGCGTCTTTGATGAGTCAATGTGCTCTTAAATTGGTCTTCAATTTCCCTGTCCCCTAAAGGTTTTCCACATACTTGAGCACAGCCTCAAGCTGTATGTGAGGGGAGAGACGCATTGGATTGCGAGCATGAGCAGTCCATCTTCTGTGTATTTGATGTGTCAATGTGTTCATAAATTGGTCTTCAATTTCCCTCTTTAGGAGTCCCCTAAAGGTTTGCCACATACTGAGCACGGCCTTAAGTTGCGTGTGAGGGGAGAGAAGACGCACTGGGATGCGAGCATGGGTAGTCCATTTTTTGCATTTATGATGCGTCAATGTTCTCTTACTAGATCTGTCTTCGCTTTCTCTCTTTGGAAAAGAAAACGCACGGAATGCAGGACATTCACAACAAAGTAGAGTTGAGCATGTGGCCTGACCCGACCCGATTTGGCCGGGCCATTCGGGCCCTCGGGTCGGGTCGGGTCGGGCCGGGTTCGGGCCAGATTCCTGAAACAGCTGGCCCGACCCGGGCCTAAGAACCCGGGTCAGAGGTTACCCGAGTTCGGGTCGGGCCGGGTCGGGTCGGGTCAGGAAATCCGATTTCGCCCGCGCTCTGTGCAGATCGGCGCTTTCGTCCGCCGATATGCGCAGATCGGCGATTTCTCCCGCCGATCTGCGCGGATCGGCGATTTCTCCCGCCGATATGCGCGGATCGGCGATTTCTCCCGCCGATCTGCGCAGATCGGCGATTTCTCCCGCCGATCTGCGCAGATCGGCGATTTCGCTTGCCGATATGGGCAGATCGGGGCTTTCGTCCGCCGATCTGCGCAGATCGATGAGTTCGTTGGCGTAACTCTGTCAATTTCGCTGGTCGATCTGGTGGAGATTGGGAGTTTCGCCGTGACACTCGTTTCCGACGAATGTGTTGGAACAAATATTTCCAACCAATTCGCCATTGCTCACCACTCCTTACCGCATTAAATCTACCATTCCCAACCCTCCCCCTCCCACTCTTTACAAATCTCTCGACATCGAGCCTCTCCACAAAGTCGTCTTCTAACTCGTCGCATCATTCTTTGGCTGCAAACTAAGTAGTTATGGTTCCTAGGTGCTTTTGGTCGCTGGAGGAAGGATATTAGGTTTGCGGTAATGAATTGATGTCGAGGGGAAAAACATACCCTTGAAATAGAATGTGTTAGGGTTTCGGGTCCCCCCTGTGTCGAAATAGGGTCGGGTCTGACCCTACCCGATTTCCCAAATCTTGACCCGATTTCGGGTCGGGTCAAAGCTGACCTGAAACCCGACCTGACTCGGCCTGAGTCTCATGCTCGGGTCGGGTTTTGGCCCGGGTCGGGTCGGGTTGGCCCGCACGGGGCAGGCAATTGAAACCGCTGACCCGACCCGGGCTAAACCACGGGTCGGGTCGGGCCGGCCCGACCCGAGAGGGGCAAATGCTCATCTCTACAACAAAGGCAACATCCTAGACCACCATGGGTAGCTAACTGGGATCAGTATGGAAGAAGCCTCACCATCTACTTCTAGGTACTGGGGTCTGCCGCCTACCTCTGCACATTAGCCTCATGATAGGGTCTTGCAATTTCCAAGCGACAAGATACATGGGAAAGGGATGTTCTGGCTGTTCCTCATGTTCAAATGAGAGTGAAATTCTACGAAATCAAGCTCGTAGCGAAGGTCAAAGACCCAAAGCCACGATATATAGGCTGCCATCAGTTTGATCATACCCAAATAAAGTCATCAGACCAGCCATTCTCAAGCTGCCATCATCGTTGGTCAAATCTGAGCCATCCCTCAACTCTCCTTTTCGCTAGAGAAAAAAAAAACGGAATGTCTTGCCAACGCTGCTGGCCTACAGACTTTCCTTCACAAAATCAATTTGTTCAAATGCAGACAGTGAAGACATTATGCGATGGAGTATGCTGTTTTAAGCATTGTGCATGCACAGCTGTTTCAGGTCATAGTTGTATCCTGCTGTGCCTTTCCACCAACACAAACATTGTGTACTCTATATCCTTTTCTCCTGCTTCTGAATGTGTACACATTTGCATGCTTGCCATGAGGCGCAAGTTGTCTTCATTTATTTCCACCCATAATATACTTTCCTTGCTTAACCATCAGAGATCTCACGTACAACGCTCTGAGAGGGTCTATTCCATCCACCATCGGCAAAATGAGCAGCCTCAAAAGATTGTGAGTATCGGCAAGGAATCCAGAAAGAGAGCCCTAACTGACCTCGCACAGATTCGTACATACAGGGGCCTCTGATGGTGTGATTTGAGCAACTTGTTTTGAGAACGAGCATACAAGCTTTGCATGAGGAGGAGGGAGTCTGCACCAGCGCAAATGTGAATTGAGATCCACTGGGGATGGAAGGTGCCCCTGAACTGGTGGAGGGAGAATACACTCATTCCTCCTGTGTGACCACAGCGACATGTCACTGTTGTGAGCCGGTCCATCTCGTCAATCACAGTGGTGAGGATTTGCTGCGAATCTCTCCACATTAGCCTCACTATATGGTCCCGAAATGTTCAGGCGGTAAGATACATGGGCAAGGTTATGAGGCCCCCTAACTGAGCCTCCAGATTTCAGTTTTGTGGACATTGAGTCAATCCTCCCTCCCGCGGCCTCAATCCTCCCTCCCGTGGCCTCAAACCGCTTCCCCATGGCAGCAATCCTCCCTCCCGCCGCCACGCCTCAATCTGCCCGCCGACGCGTCCGACCTGCGCGCCGACGCGGACGACCAGCGCGGCGACGCGGACGACCTGCGCGCCGACGCGGACGACCTGCGCGCCGCCGCGGACGAACAGTGCGCGGTCGCCGACGACCTACACACCGACGCGGACGGCCAGCGCGCGACCACCGACGACCCGCGCGCCGATGTGGACGGCCAGCGCACAACCGCCGACGACCCACGCGCTGACGCGGACGGCCAGCGCACGACCGCCGACGACCCGCGCACTGACGCGGACGGCCAGCGCGCGACCGCCAACGACCCTCGCGCTTACACGGACGGCCAGCGCGCGACCACTGACGGCCCGCGCGGAGCCGCGTCCGACCTGCGCGTCGGCGCGGACGGCCAGCGTGGAGCAGCGGCTGACATGCGCGCCCTCGCGGACGGCTGCCCGCGATCGCCACGACCCCCCCTTCACCCGCGCCCTGCCCCACACTTCCGCGCCAACCTCCCTCCCCCTACTCCACCCTCCACGGCACCAGCAGCGGCACCGTCAACGGCACCAGCAGCGGCACCGTCATCGGCACCAGCAGCGGCACCTTCAACGGCACCAGCAGCGGCACCGTCAACGGCACCAGCAACGGCACCGTCAACGGCACCAGCAGCTGCACCTTCAACGGCACCAGCAGCGGCACCTTCCACGGCACCAGCAGCGGCACCTTCCACGGCACCAGCAGCGGCACCTTTACTACTTCGTCAACATGGCTCGTCGGTCGACTTGGCGACCATTGACTCTCTCGAGTTGCTGGGCGACAACTCAGCCGCCAACTGGCACTCGTATGCCCACTCCGTTGAGGTGTTGCTCTCCTCGGTTGTTGTCAGTGGATATTCCCTTCGTTCCGTCGTGTTCCAGGAGGAGGGTGGACTCCAGCCCACCGCCCCTTCCGCCCCCACTGGACCTGCTCCCGACGAGCCCGGACCTGAGCCCGAGCCTCCTGTTGATCCTCCCTCCTTCGCGCGGATGTCCACAACCCACAAAGCGTGGAAAGTGCCATCCGTGCCTACCGCACCACACTCAACGACCACCTTCGCCGCCAACTACGCTATGAGGACGACAAGCGCACCTATGACGAGGCTGCTGCCCGACACCGCAAATACCAAGCCCGGCTCACCATGTATACCACACGCCTCGCCACCTACACCACTGACATTGCTGCGTGGCGCATTGCTGATCGCCGAGCTCTCGCCATCCTCCTCGCCACTATCCCTTCCTCCCTCAAACGAGAGCTTTTACCCACCACCTCCTCCCACCTGTGGCAACTGCTTGTCGACCTCTTCGTGTAGTCAAGGCACGTGGGAGCGGGGGAGTCTGGTGGTGGAGGAAGTGAGGCTGGCAGGCCGAGTAGAAGTTTCTTGGAGGCCATGTCAGCAAGTGTGCGGAAGTTTGGGTGCCCGAGCCGATGGTGGTAGAGTATGGTCGGGTTGGAGAAACTGCGGCACGAGCATGATGAAGTAGTTGCCTCTGCTTGGGTGGTTGACACCTGTGGGATGGGTACTTGCAGCGTGTAAAGGCCGCTGCTGTTGAGGGTGAAATGAGTCAAGACCTTGTTGGTGAGTGGGTCGAGGATATCACCATAGTTCTCGTTCTCCCAGAAGATGGTGCGTAGCCCAGCTTCCTGAATTCCCGTTTGGGCCACGAGACTGTGGCGGAGTGAAGGCACGCACATTCCAGTGACAGTGCCGGAAGGGAAGGCGGGGCACGGGACTGTGGATGAACCCTTGGCAAGAGTGGTGAAGCTTGAGTCAGCTCCTAGGAGAGGGATGGGTGTTGCGTAGGGTTTGAAGGAGAGTGTCTCCGTGAGCACAGTGTGAGTGGCGTCGCTGTCGAGTGTGAACTCTATGTATTGTGGTGCTTGTGATGAGCCGATGTACTGGGAGGAAGCTTCATTAATCATGGCAGTGCCAGGGAACAACAGGTTGATACGCACATCAGTAGGAGCACTATCACTAGCAATAGCCGAAGCGGGGCCCTGGACCTCAACCAGGTTGGCCTTACGCGCACGCATCTAGTTCGGTGGCCTCTTGTCTATGCCGTGGATGGCGTACCATTCGTCGTCCTTCTTCTTGAAGCACGTAGCAAAGGGGGTGGTTAGTGCCACCACACACTTGTCCCTTGCGGTTGTCATACTTGACGACGTAGGTGCACGGTGGGAAGCGGTTGCGCTGGAAGGGTGCCGAGGCAAGGGCCGCTGCGACACTTGCTTGAGGCATGGGAGCACGGATGGCGTAGGCCTTGGCTTGAGCCGTGGAGTCTTCCTTGGCAGAGAAGAGTGTGGAGGAGACCTTGGCAAAAGTGAGGTCTTCCGCAGTCAGCGTGAGGAGCATCTTCCTTGTGATTTCGTACCCCCGGGTCGGGTCAGGGACTTCACCAGCTTGGCCCGGGTCTGGCCCAACCTGACCCGACCCGGGAACCCGGCCAACTCGGGTCGGGTCGGGCCGCCATGCCTTCTTCTTCACGGGTTACTGAGGCACCTAGAATTGCTGTTCTGTTAGTTCTACAAACAAGTCTCATCATCCCTTCTCACCATCATTCTCAAGCGCTCAGTGAGATGGAAGCTGGAGTTACGAAAGAGCTTCTAAGTCGAAGGGACTGTTGCACGTTTATCTTCGCGGAGCCGTTTTGCTTTGTTTGGCCAGGTCTGGGTCCGGGTCGGTGTGTAATGATATCATGGCACCCTTGTCGGGTTGTGACTTTTGCATGGATTAGCGTTTCGCTGTGCCGCCAGATCCCTGTAGATCTGGCACTAGCATGGTTGAAGCAGGCGGTGGGCAGGATGCTACGAGGTAAGGTTTACTCGAATTGCACCAACCGAGACTGATCTGGTTGTGTGAGAAGAGGTGGAGACCTGGCCAGTTAGAGGTTTGACCCGAACCACGCATGGTTGCCAAAGGTTTGTAAAACACTGTATAACTAAACAACCACAGACCTAAAATCCCATGAGTAGGCACCGCGCTCTTGGCTAGAGCTACAGTACGGAAAACAGTGGCGAGCAGAGTAGGGTTCGGTCCAAGTCGAGCATGTTTGGTTTTGTTCGATCCTTAAGGTTTGATTTCAAGCCACGTCGAAACTCGATCGATTCGAAGCTATTTTGGTTCGTGTCAAGCCGGCAGAGGTTTCGCATGGAAACCTGGACAATCTTGCACTTCGAGGAAGGGATGTCATAGGTTCGTGCATCTGGAATTTCGTGCACAATGTTGTTGCCGAACAACCGAAACCGAACCCGTTCACGTGGAACTGCACTCAAAGCTTCGACTCAAAGCTTCAACCACAGTCAACGAAACTCGAACTCCAAACACCATGGTTTTGGTTTGGCCAAAACAAAACCGGTTCGGTTCGACTTTTTGGCCAGTTCGATCTGGTTCAAGCGGTACTTTCTCAAGCCTAGATGCAGCTGAGGTCGTGTGGAGAAAAAGGCAGAGAGTTTGATGTAAAAAAAGCTGGAAATATAAGAATGAGCCCCAATTATGTCAATCCAAGGGTCATATGTGTCCCACAGGACTCGGGTGTAATGGTTCCCTGTTAGGAATCAATAGGATTTTTCATAACACCGGAACCAGCCTGGGTCATCGAGCATCTATTTGCCCAGTGCGGGCCAGTTCGATTCGACCAGCTCGATTGCAGGCTAGTTTGTCATGGCTGGCTGGTGCAAGAATATGTTCAACGAGCTGACAAGCTGGGTCTCGGCTTGTCAATTCAGCTCGATAACTCAGGGCCAGGCGACAGAGCTGCATTGCTGGCTCGGCCTGACTCAATTGTCAGCTCGATTGTTGATTGTAGAGCAATATTATCTATCATCGAGCTAAACAATGAGCTCCCAGTTTGACGGATTGCGGGACCTGTGTTAGGCATGCTCGTGTGTCATGTGCCCTTGTACGGCAGCTATGGGGTTTGGCATGGGCCACGGGTTTGAAGCAGCCTGGTTTGCCAGGCATATATCTACTCAGTGCGGAACAGGTCGGGCTGGCCCGTGAAAAATCAGGGAAGCTGCCCTTGGTTATGTGTACTAGAATGGATTGCAAGCATGAGCAGCCCATGTTTTGCATATTTGATGCATCAATGTGCTCTCAAATTGGTCCTTGGGAGTCCCCCAAAGTTCTCTCGCGTACTTGAGCACGGCCTTACACTATGTATGAGGGGAAGAGAAGACGCACACAAGGGCAAGGTTATGAGGCCCCCTAACTGAGCCTCCAGGGTTCCATTGCACAAAATAGTGGGTTTGAGCATAGGCCTATGACCAGCTTAGTCGTTCCATTGCACAACGAGCTGACTGGCCGATGAGATGAGTGGGCAGCTAATTAGGCATGTGGCTTATCTATGATACGCAAACCAATCGAGCTAGAACGAGATTGTACACCTCGCCACAATCTGTCAAATCTGCATGGAGATGGCAGTTTGCTGCCAGATATATGTGGATCTTGCGTTTTACCACCAAATTCAGATAAGGTAGAAAACTTTTCATTGTCTTATCTATATGTAGTGCTCCTTCCAGTGGCTGTGAGGTAGGAACGAGCAAGAATATCCTTTTGAATACAGTGAATGCAGACCATATGTGCTCCTACTCAAATTCAATGCTACTCACCAGCGCCAGCTCACGTGTCAGGTGGGAGGACTCAAGCTTGTCATCTGGGTTGTCTCCACCAAATTTCCCCCAACCCCACAGCAGCAGAGTTGCAACCATCCCCCCAGCAAAATGCAATGCAACTGCAGCGAAACTACGCCAGCACACGCACCTCCTTGAAACGCAAGCAGAAAGCGCCCTCAACAGACCTTGTGCTCCACAAGCATGCGGGAGCTCATGAGGAACTTGCTGGCCTCATCCTGAGCCTGCGATAGCCACAAGCTCCATCCTCTCCGCTACAGCTTCAGCCTGCCCGTCCACAAGGAGGCTGGCATGGCACCAGAGGCGGTGGCTGTGTCCTAGGAGGAAATGTGGACAGGGGAAAGTACACCCAGGAGAGACAGGTGCGTCCGGGACCAAGGGAGGTGGCAGCAGTGGGTGTAGTGTGCGGATCTGTGGCAGGAAGAATGGAAGCCCATTGTTGTGGTTCATAACTCGTTATGGTCCCATACGAAGCTTCGTGTGAGGAGGGAGCGTATGCAGCAGCACAGATTTGACTCGAGATCCATTCGGGGTGGAATTCGTGGGGAGATCCGGCGATTCCCCCGCTGCGCCGATGTCTCCATCACCAGGGGAATCTTTTCCAAGGCTGGATTTGCTGCAGAGGCAGCCACTGCCGCCGATTTCGCAGCTGCAGCAACGGCCGGCAAGTATGGGGTCCGTCCTGATTGGCAGACCTATGCTTCGCGTGCTGCTATTCACACTTTTCCCCAGCACAGTGATGACAGCCGAGCAGGGGATGACGGCTGCTGAGAAAAGGAGGATTTCAGGCTTTGCTAACCAAGTACACATTTGCCCACATGGCTGAAGCACTGTGCACTTTAGCCCTGGCTGGGGAAGGAGACGGTGCATGGTGGTGACCTATGATGGACTATACGCGTTTAGCGTATATATGCGTATCGTATATACGCTAACGTGTATACGCCATACGCTCGAGGGTCGGATCAGGCATACGCTTTTTCGGGCAGGGAAAAAACATTTCAGGCAGGGTGGAAAAAATCCCTAAAGGTGGAAAAAACATCTCACTAAGACGCGCCCTAGCATTTTCCTGAGTCCGATCGGCGGGTGGGGTGGGGCGGGGAGTAGACATCATAGCTATAGGGAGTAGTGTTGGAGAGGCTGTTCAAGTTGGAGTGCGCGCGCGGGGACACTGCTGCAAGCGGGAATGCAAGGTAGGAATGACGGGTTAGGAGTTGGGCTGGCTGGTAAGTAGCGTGAGGTTTGTTGGGGGTTCGATTTTGATAGGTTGGAGTTCGTAGATAAGATGGTTTTCAATGCGGTAGAGGGGATGGGTTCAAATGCCTAGATGGGACCTGAAATTCGACATTTGAATAGCCAGATCTGCCTGAAAACTTCGAAGTCAGATCCCAGCTTGCATAGACCGCGGATTTGCATTTCGACTCCGGCGAAATGTTCACCAAGAAAATCCGCATCTTTTCCCGATTTTACTTTTCCGGGCTGCCCGAAAAAAAATATGGCTGCGTATTGCGTATTTGCTAGCGTTTAGCGTATTGCGTGCACACGCTAGCGTAGATACGTTAAACGCAAAGGGTCTAGAGCGTATAATCCAACATAGGTGGTGACCAACATTGGCACAGCACATACGAGGGAAATCTCTCCCGCCCATGTGACGTGTCACCAGTCCAGGCCGCAAATCAGAGTGGT